TGGAACGTTTAGGTTGTCCCCCCAAGTTCCTTAAAATGATCATCTCGCTCCATGAGGATCAGCATGGCCAAGTCAGATATGGCAATGCACTTTCTGAGCCCTTTCTAATAACTAATGGTGTGAAACAAGTCTGCATTCTATCACCAACCCTATTCACAGTCTTTTTCAGTGTGATGCTCCAAAGGGCCACAGCAGACCTCGATGATCAGGACGGTATCTACATCCGATACTGTACTGATGGAAGCCTTTTCAACCTAAGGCGACTGAAGGCCCACACCAAGACCTTAAATCATCTTGTCCGGGAGCTGCTTTATGCTGATGACGCCACCCTTGTTGCCCACACAGAAGTAGCTCTGCAGTGTTTAACATCCTGCTTTGCAGACGCTGCTGAGCTCTTTTGGCTGGAAGTCAGTTTAAAGAAGACAGAAGTTCTCCATCAACCAGCACCTCAGGAAGTCTTCCTTCATCCCCATATCAACATTGGTGAATCAGAGCTCAAATCAGTCCAGCAGTTTAATTACCTAGGTAGCCTCATCTCCTCGGATGGTAAGATTGATGGAGGGATAGACAATAGGTTAGCAAAGGCATATAGTGCTTTTGGAAAGCTTCATAAAAGAGTTTGGCAAAATAAACACCTGAAGAAAAGCACCAAGATCAGTGTTGACAGAGCCATTGTGCTGTCTACTCTCTTATACGGATCTGAATCATGGGTCATCTACCACCACCACCTGTGACTCCTAGAATGCTTCCATCAATGCTGTCTCCGCACAATCCTGAACATCCACTGGTCAGATTATGTGACCAATACATCTGTTCTAGAACAAGCAGGAGTCACAAGTATTGAGGCCATGTTGCTGAGAACACAGCTGCATTGGGCAGTGCACGTCTCAAGGGCACCTCTCAAGGATGAAGGACCACCACCTCCCTAAGATCCTGCTTTATGGTGAACTTGCCACCAGCTGCTGCAAGAGAGGAGCCCGAAAGAGAAGATACAAGGACTCCCTGAAACAACATCTCAGCCTTGACCATATTGATCACCATAACTGGTCTACTCTGGCCTCCAATCGGGAGGCCTGCAGACACACCATCTATAACACTGCTGATGCTTTTGAGAAAGCACGCAGGATCACCCTTGAGAAGAAAAGACAACACAGAAAGAATCGTGCCTTGCAGAATACACCATCTAAGGAGTCTTTCTGCTGTGCCTTTTGCGACTGATCATGCCTATCTCGTATTGGCCTTTTTAGCCACCAATGTGCTTGCAACAAACCTGGGCAGAGCCCTTCCCAAATTTTCATTCATGAAGCCCAACCATGATGTGGTTGTTCAGCTGTTTTAACTGTTCGTAGTTCTCCTTTGCGTTTGTCGCTTTTATGACTTCTTGTGAATATTGCTGCAGGGGAAAAAGGTCTTAAGGAATGACTTGAAACGGGGCTTCCTTTACAGGCTGCAGACAGGGTTTAAACTAGAATTTACAGGGGAGGGGAACCTCAATCTATTCCACTCCTAACAATTTGATACCGGTGCTAACAAGAGATGCCCAGAGTTTGGAAAAGGTTCAGAAGCCATCAGGTTTAGATAAGGAAGAAATTCTTCACTATGAGTGTAGTGAGGCACTGGAAGAGGTTGACCAGAGAGGTTGTGGATCCCCCATCCCTGGGAATGTTCAAGGCCAGGTTGGATGGGACTCTGAGCAATCTGGTCTTATGGAAGTTACCTTTGCCCATGATGGGGATGTTGGAACACGATGAGCTTTATGGTCCCTTCCAACTCAAACCATTCTATGATTCTATGATGTTCTGTATAAAGAAAGACAGAAAATACGAAAAAGAAAAAAGGCAGGAAAAAGCATTGAAATAAGTGTCATTGGTAGCTACAGTAGGTTCAGGATGGAAGAGATACAGATCTTTGGTCAGGGAGATGGATTGCGCAGGGTCTGCAAGGGAATTAGAAAAAAATTCAAAGTTAATATAATGGGAAAGAATAAGTTAATGCTGCAGCTCAGAGAGCAGCCTATTTATAGCAGTTTATTGACAGGATGAGAATATTATTTTTAGCAACATCTTTTGAATGCTCTTTAGGAGAATTACACCAACGTAAGAGTCCAAAGCACAGTAAAATGACCAAAGGATTTGTCATCTAAAAGGAAGGTTAATGTTTTTAAACTCTCAAGACTTGGAAACATTTTTCTTTCATCATTCATAGTGTTTTGATATTTCTGTGCGTTGCAAGGAAAGAAATTACTTGGTAAAATTTAGATTATTTGCATAAAAATATTTCAAAGTTATGTATATTGTCCTAGTCAGAACAGCTGAGACCAGTTCATCATTATGGGTGTAACCCAAAACTGTATTCTATAGCCTTCCATACCATTTCCCAGAAACTGTTATCAATGAACCATTTACACCCTCTGCCCATAGAGCCTGACTCCTCAGGCTATAAACTGGGTGTTAAGAGGCCTGTGAGATTAGGAGGGTGCTCTTGTCCTCACACCCATTGGGGAACCCCCTGCCCTGAGGGAGGTACTGGGCATTCCTGTCTGAACTGGAGGATATATAATCTTGGAGTCTTGGGACTTTTTTAACCACTTGTGGGATCCAGAGGAAGACTGCAGATCACCACTCTCAACCAGACTGCAGACCACCACTCTCGACCGGACTGCAATCACCACTTTTGGCCAGACTGCAACAGCACTCTCACCAACTGGTTTTTTCCCCCTCTCCCTTTACTTTGGACTCAGGGGGCCCAACAAACACCACTGTGTTCATACCCCAGGGTGCTGAGTTATACATTTGGGTTTTGTGGGTTAAAACCAATTGTTTGTCTGTATAATCGTACTTATTGTATTATTTTATTAAATTGTTATTCTGACTTATAATCTCTCTTTTGGATTGAGTTCATTTTCCCCTGCTGGTTTACCTTTAAACCAATACAATATAAAGACATATTTGATTGGCTTTCTCTATTTCTTATATTAGAGTGATGATTGAAAAAGCCCAGTGACATTTATATATGAAAGAATATAAGGAATTTCACTTAAAGAGTAAAAATCAACCATTTTCTTTGCTTTTTTGAAATTGGTCTGCTGGCAATGCAGCTGTTTAACTATATTTTTTTTTATGTTCTTTGAACTGCTACTGACAACAGGATCTTGTGGGATGGAGTTTCCAAACTGCTAAAAAGCAGTGATCCACCTGCAGCATGGTACAGTAACCTTGACCTCAGGAGGGATTTTAAAGCAGTTGAGTGAATATGCTACCTGAGTCATCAGTCTTTTTCTTTTTAGGACTAGTAAATGCATGAGCTGTGTGCATTCTCATGAAAATCTCAACTAGTGAAATAAAAATTTCTGATCAGAATGGAGGAACTACTTGATAAATGTCTGCTCCTAAATGCCTCTAAAACAAAAAAATTATTGTAATATCTGTGTCCTTCTTGGGCTAAGAGAAAAGTAAACAGAGATGTCTTAGTAATTCTGCAGATTTTGGATTTACCCACATTCTCATCAGCATTCTTTGGTGAAAGACTGAGAACCCAGCAACACCCAGAAAATGTCCATTGACAAAAGTTATTTTGAGAAGAGACTTAGCTGTTGTTCTTAAGGAGTTTGCTGCTTTCGCAATTCTCTTGTGATGAGCAGCAATGGATCTGTTATCCTGTGCTGAGATTAGATGGAGTTTTGAACAATCTGGTCCAGTGGAAGGTGTCTTTACCCATGGGAGAGGAATTGAAACTGGATGATCTCTGAGAAGCCTTTTAACCTAAGCAATTTTATGATTCTATGATCTTGCTAATATACATTTAACACGTGTGTTTTATGAAATAGTTTTAAATTATGTCTCATAAGGAGCAGTGAAAACTACTTGTACAAAACACAAGGGGAAACAGGGACAATTTGGGGTGCATGAGGCTTCGCAGATGCCAGCACTTCAGATGTTATCATCTGGAATTCCAAGCATGGAAATACTGATGATTAACCTCTACATTAATAAGTCTTTAACCAAGTCCAGGTATTTAAATGTTTTATTTCAGCTTCCTTTCCCATCCAACCACCTTCTTCAGGGCAGAGCTGATTCTTTGGAAGGCCAGAATTTTAGACAACAGCAATTAAAGTTCAGCAGAGATGCTGGAGAATTTGTCCATTCTTGAGACTTATCAAAAAGAGACACAAAGCAAGGATTACTAGTATTTTAAGTGCTTCCAGCACCTTTATAGTTAATGTCTGCTCTCTAGTAGATGTATAAGATGGTAGCAATATGCTAGGTGTATAAAACCCAACCTGGGAAGTTCAATAAGAAAGTAGACAAAAAAAGAATTACATATATCAAACAAATTTGATGGTGCTATCGAAAATTTGGCAATTGTTTTTTCCTTCTGACAGCCTGCTCAATGTGTTGTGTATCTTTGTCGAGTGTTCCACTGGGAGTTTGTCCTTGAAAAGGAAATAATGTACAATATGCTATAATGTGAATGGTCAAAATGTTAAATATTTCAAGAAAGTACTTCATGTGGAAAACATCATTAATGTTAAAAAAAAATCTCAAAATTATTTTTACATATGTCATTTTAATATATATAGCTAAACTGTAATGTACTTGTTCAGAATTCTTTGGGGGGAAAACACAAAAGAAAAACCCAAAATAATGAATCAAGAACAGTAGAGTGCTTTTGCTTATAAAGGACATCGCCTTTTTAAATAAAGTAATACCCTGAAGAAGGACTGAGAAAAAGACTGTCAAGCTGGACGTTTTCAGTTCTGTAGATCTCAAGTGGAAAGTGTGTGTTTCACAATCATCTTTCTTTAGATTTAGACATGTTACTCCTAATGATTAATCTCCTACAAGACTACTTATTTTCTGGAATTTCTATGCAGTGAGAAAGGATAAAATAATTTGTATACTATTTTTTTCATAAATATAGAAGATTAACTGGTTTTGGTGTCATCAATTGTGGTCAAGTTATGATGCTCACAAAATAATATCTTTTTTTGTGTATTACAGGTAGCATAGTGTACCTTGGGATGATGGTGGGGGCATTCTTCTGGGGAGGCTTGGCAGACAAGGTGGGAAGGAGACAGTCACTCCTGATATGTATGTCTGTCAATGGATTCTTTGCCTTCCTTTCATCATTTGTCCAGGGCTATGGCTTCTTCCTCTTCTGTCGCTTGTTTTCTGGATTTGGGTAAGCTACTCTGGTTTTGTTCATTTCCACAATTCCAAATGTTAATAAAACTTTCCTGTTTGCAAATGTATTTAATGTATAAATACAGTCTGTGTCAGGGGTGAGAGAATTAAACAACTACTGTGTTGCTACTACACTGCTAAATCACAACTGGAAGGGGAAGAATAATGATTTTAGGGGAAAGACACAGACTGAAAACTGTGAGATTAGGTTTGTTCTTTTTTGCAAAGGATTTGCTTTGTATATTTGATCAACTTGCTTAACTCTTTTATGCCTCAGCTTCTCTACATACAGTATCTTTTTCAGTCAGCAAAATAATACCCTTCCCACAGGTGTACTCTATGATCCAGACAAAGTCCAGAAGCTTATTGTAATATCGCTCACCCTTCTTAATTCACTGGGACAGTACCTTGTGCTACTAAGCTTTGCCTTTTGGCTGACAGTTTTGTGACACTGTTGCCTTTCGCCTAGATTGTCCCTATTGGGACATACAGCAAAATAGGTATTTTCTGTGCCTCATAACAAACTTACCTGCAGGGTCTCCTCCTTGCTTTTACAGTAATGATCAGTGTCTGTAGCTCTCCTTGTGATAGATGTACATCTTGAGTTGGGAATTGTGTTCTATTGTGTACACAGCTTATGATTAATGCTTTGAAGGAGCATGCCCTTCGTATCTGTATCCTGTATCTCTTTGTGTGTCCCCACTCTGTCCAAAGTTCTCCTATGCCATCTTTGAGAGCTACATGAACAGGTCATAGATAATTTATCACCATGTACTACATTTTAAATGGACCCTCCAAACCAAAACCAAAACCAGCCACAACAAAAAAGACAGGATGACCTGCAGAGTCATTCCTCATAGCAGTTACTGCAGAGAAAGATGCATGGCTGGCTCACATTCGCTGTGTTATTCGAAGGTTGGATTTTTCCTCAGAATAATCTCCTTCAGCTGATATCAGAGCTGCAGGAGGTTTCTAGAAAAGAGAAAAAGCCACTGGGTTTCTAGAAAAGAATCTGTTCCTCATTACCTCAAGATGAGAGAAGGCACATCTTAATGAGATGTTTCTCCTTTTCCAGTCAATGGGAACTTCACCAGACTGTCACAATTTCTCAAGTATGGTGGATAGTGGCTTAGAAACTTCATCTTCCAGTTCCCTCATGACCCACCGATGTTTCTCATCAGGTCCCATCAACTTGTGCACCTTCAGGTTTCTTAGATGTTCCCTAATCTGATCTTCTCCTACAGTGCAATGTTGTCATTCTCCCAGCCCCTGCCTTGTCTTCTGCAACCAGTGTGGCTGGAGCACTCAGTGATGAAGACTGAGGCAAAAAAACAGCCCTCATTTTTCCTAGTCTTCCTTTTCTTAATAACGTGCCACTGTGCCTTTGTTAGCAAGAGAGGAGGCTTTGCTCCAGTAATTTTGTGTGAATCAAAGAGCCCAAATATGAAATTGGAATAATTTTAAGCAAATAACTGAATGATATGTTTTAAAGGCAAAATAGTATTATTACTCAGATAGGAGAAGAGTTTTTTAAAGGGGCAGAGAGTTATCAGGACAATTTCATTAAATTAAAAATCAATAAAATATTAAGAACTATTCAAATTAAATAAAATCATTGAAGTATATAGAGTTTAAACTGGTCTGTTGGTTTCTAGATAATCAAAAAAAAAAAAAGTTAAGAAACATGAAAAAATAAACCCGGTATCTGATAGAAGATTGTACTTATTTTAAAAATACTATGAAATATTCCCTTTGTAGTCAAAATGTGTTTACAGAAGTAAACAGCCCAAGGAAAGAAAATATGCCTTCACATATTTTTTTAAAAGTTTTATTTTTTCATCTGAAAAAACCTAAAACTAGTAAAACTTTTGCAAGAAAACACAAGATATTTTGAATACAAACCAGTATAAATAATATTAAGATGTTGCTGTGTAAAGGGCATTGATATGTATGAAAGTCTGAAAGATAAACTTAAGCTAGAGAAAAGAATAAAGAAATGTTAGAAAATCTTCAAGATCATTTCCTGTTACAGAAAATAATATTATAACTGTGATTCTTCCATTGATTAATCCAAAATCAAAACTGAAAAGGAAATTGAATCCAAAAGCCTGATAAAGGTCTAGGAGGGTTTTAGACCTGTTTTCCTACAAGGTAAAAAGACCTAGATGAGAAACTGTGAGCTGTATTCATCATTAGCCATTGGAGGGAGGTGCAAAGATTTTTCATGAAAACACACCTTGTTATATCTGTTGCAAATTGTCAAAGAAAGGTTTCTCTGATACAGAACATGACTCACAGCATTGCTGTTAACCTGAATGGAGCTGGAGTTGTCTATTCAACACTACTGGTGTGAAATATTCTTCTCAGCTATAGAGTTTTATCTAATTTCTATTACAAAAAAGTAATCTAAGCTATTAGTTTGTTAGTTGTGATACAGATAATTTTAGTTGCAGCCTTTTTAAGTACAACAACTCAGTTTAGGATAAAGTGATTAAAAGTGCACTACAGTGCCCTTTTGTCTTAGCCCCGCAGGTTTCATTTTGGTTGCTTTGGAATAGCCAGAGATGATACAATTTGGAAAAATGTATCATGCTTATCCAGCCCAACTGTTACTTCTAAAAGTAATCAAAGTTTCCATGCAGCAAAAAGCTAGCTGAAATAAATATCCTGAGATGAACCAGAGTTTAGAAATTTTTCAGAACAACCTCATACGTTTGCTCCTGGAAGAAACTTACTATTTTTCATGAACAAAGAAAAAAATGCTAAATAAATATGTCCTATTTTTAAACCACACATTATTCCCGGAGTCCGTATAATAAAGTCCTTTCAATTGCTGTATATCCTTTTCTGCTCCTGAAACCGCTCCCATCCTGATTCTTGCTCCTTCACACTACAGAGATTTCTTTCAATTTGCCAGAATTTCCAGACTGACCTTCAGACAGCTTTCTTCATCCTTCCTCAGACAATACCTCTAAATCTTCCTGCAGTACTCCTTCCACATAATTGGAATCTACCACAGAGTCCTTGTGTCACTGTAGTAGCACTAAAACCGTAATTCAGGTATTTTCTCAAATTATTCACACTTCTGTGGGAATCAAAAGTTAGCAATAATGGATGTAGTTTCTTGTAATTTACAATTTTGAGGTGATTGTCTGTGCAAGTCCACACACATTGCCCTTTACCACCAGTTTCGTATATTATATGTAATGGCAAGAAACTCTTAGAGGCCATGACAAGGAAGGATGTGCAAGAAGTCTATATACATAACAACTGTAAAAATGTTCCAAGAGAGATATAGACAATGTGGACACAGGACAAAATGGTTGGTCTACACAAGCAGTTGCCTTCAGGAACTTCAGATCTAGACCAACAGCCTGCCTTTATAATTGTATGTCATCAGTACTTTGTATCATGTTGTTTTTATCTTTTACCACTTCATACCCACTCGTTCCACTTCTTTTTCATGAAGCATCTTGTGTCCTCTCACCCTGAAAAGGTCATAATCTTTCTGCCTTTAATTTCTCTCCAGCATCCAGCTGTCTCCCACTCAGGGCTATCAGTGTTTTTACACTGCAAGCTAATGAATAGCTCTGCTGGTGTTTGGCTTCAAAGCTAATAGCCTATGCCAAAAGGGATATATGCTTCTCAATGAAGCCAAGGAAGCAGCTGGCAAGGTCTGAGCTTTCCAAATAGCTTAGATTCCACCCTTGCAGCTTCAGATGTGGCTAAAAGTTGACTAATCTAAACCTTGGATAGCCAGGTGAGAAATGGTCTTCCCCTTGCTTTTGAGAGAACAGGACAGTGTTCTTATGAGGAAAGGAAGATCATACAAAAGGGAGAGAAAGGCTAGACAAGGGAAATATATAAATAATATAGAGAGACGACATGACAGAAAAAAATCAAAAGAAATGTAATAGAGTCATAGAATCATTTAGTTTGGAAAGGACCTTTAAAATCACTGAGGCCAACTATCAACCCAACACTGCCAAGTCTACCATTAAACCATGTTCCTAAGCCCCTCACCTACACATCTTTTAAATCCCTCCAGAGATGGAGACTCCACACTTCCCTGGTCAGCTTGTTTCAATGTTTTGCAAATGTTTCTGTGAACAAATTTTTCCTACTATACAATCAAAACTACCCTGGCAAAAATTAAAGCTGTTTCATCTGTCCTACTGTTACTTGGAAAAGGAGACACTGATCACCACCTGCCCACAACCTCTGTTCAGGTGACTGTAGGGAGTAATAAGGTCCTGCCCTAAGCCTTCTTTTTTCCAGCCTAGACACCCCCAGCTCCTTCAGCCACTCCTCATAGTAATTGTGCTCCAGATGCTTTGCCAACTTCATTGCCTTCTCTGGACACATTTCACCACCTCAATGTCCATCTTGTAGTGAGAGGCCCAAGACCAGACACAGCACTTAAGGTGCAGTATCACCAGTGCTGAGTACAGAGAGACAATCACTATCCTGGTCCTGCTGGTCACACTATTTCTGATACAAGCCCGGATGCCACCTGGGTCTTCTTTGCCACCTGGTCACACTGTGGCTTCTGTTCAGCTGCTTTTGACCAGCACCTGTGGGGGTGTCCTTTTCTGCTGGGCAGCTTTCCAGCCACTCTTCTACCAGCCTGTGGTACTGCCTGGGGTTGTTGTGACCCAAGGGCAGGACCCAGCACTTGGTCTTGTTGAAACTTATACTGTTGGTCTCAGCCCATCAACTCAGCCTGTCCAGATCCCTCTGCAGAACCTTCTTAGACTCCAGCATGTTCCCATTCTTGCCCAGCTTTGTGTCATCTGCAAACAGACTGAGTGGGCTGGGCCTGATCCCCTGGTTGTCCTATATATGCTGTGTGATGGCACTCAGGATGATCTGCTCCGTGACCTTCCCCTGCACTGAGTTCAGGCCTGTAGTTTCCCAGATTCTCCTCCAGGCCCTTCTTTTAAATGGGTGCCATTTTTCACAACCTCCAGTTGACTGGGACCTCCCCAATTAGTCAGA